ATCTCTAGAATTGAAAGAAATATTTAAATTTAACGGATTTTATTTTTTTGTTGCATTATTTATGATTGCCACTGTATGTATTAATTAGATTTTTTTTGTTTATTTATGATATATAATTATTAATAAACTATAAAAAAAGAAGTAATTATCATGATAAATTAATTTTTAAAATACTAATATAAAATATTCTTTGATAACTTTAACGGTAAAATTAATTACTTTGGATTATGTTCGGTAGGTATTACCCTAATTGCTCAAAGAATATCATAACATTTTTTCTTAATAAGTAAAAATATTTGAGACCTTATTAATTATATTGATTAAGTAATTAAGATTAAATTTGATTAAAATAGATTAACATAATTTAATTATTGAGATAAAAATTCAACATAATTTATTGAATCGAGTGATTTTTTTTTAATGACGGTTTTTTCGGAGAAGTAAGGCTAAATAAAAACCGACACGGAAAGCGAGTACTAATCCAACAAGTGCGAACTAAATGGTATAGAAGAGAAGAAGAATTAATAAAAATTTATCAGATAAACAGGTTAACCACTGATTTGCGTACATACCACCCATTTATATATGACAACTTCCCCATAACCCAAATCATCCAAAATATTTTGTCCAGAAAAATTACAATTTTTAATTGCAGTTTCTCCTCCATGTAAACAGAAACAACCTTGATCAGTTTTATCACATAAAAACGTTAATCCAGAAAGGTCATTCTTAACGATACCTTCGAAGGCATATTTCTGATAATCAACATAATGAGCCCATTTCCATGCTTTTGGAATATTTTTTTTTGTTACGAAATAACCCTCAACTACCATGAAAAACCCATTAGCAAAAGCAACGATAGCTAAAGCTGCTACGAAAATTGGTATAACAGCGGAGATAAAAACAACCATAGATTCAGCGACCAATAAAGATAAAAAGAGAAATACCAAGAAATTGGTAATTTTTTCCACACCACCGTGCAAACCAATCATAGGGTAAGCAAATACAGAGAATGATAATGTAACAATCATTAAAAATGGTATTGAAATTAATGTATTAGCTAATACATATGGACCAACAGAATAAAACCTATTTGAACGTTCACGTTGAAATACCAACCGTTCCTCCAAAAATCCTGGTATACCAGCTACACTCATAAAACATAAGAACGCAACGGAAAAGAAATGGGACGATAACCTATCACCTATATGTTGTTGTCCATATCCAACTTGCCACCATGTTGAACCCATCAATATTGCTAAACTAACATACATCGCTACTCTTATCCAATACATTAATATATTTCTTGTGGAATTTTTGAGAGACCGTTTCATAATAATCATGGTCTGTGCAAAGAAATTACGAGGATATCCTCTTGGAGTACCCTCTGTAATTGATTCATTATCAAATTTTTCATTAACTGACTTGGAGATTAAATCGTCAATTTGTGCGTCAATTTCTAATTTATAAGATGATTTTAAGAAAGACACGTTGAAGCTTGTAATGAGTTGTTCAGCTTCACTTATATCTTTCATAAAATCACTATTTACCAATCTCAAGAAATAATCTCCTGGATTCGCGTAAGGTGGACAAGCGAATCCTAATTCTTCAAAGTGAGATATAGCATTCTCTCTTTTACCAAAATACAAAGTTTTACCACGTCCAAGCAATAATAATTTATCAAATAAAGCATAAGTTTCTGTGGATGGTTGATGTATACTTGCTATAACCGCAAGTTTATGTCTCCTTGCCATATCAACAATGGCATTCATTACGTTATACGCCGCAGCCGAATCTAATCCGGTCGTTGGTTCATCAAGAAATATTATTTTAGGTAAAGTGAGAACTTGAGATGCTATCGCACATCTACGTTTTTCTCCTCCACTTATACCTCTAACAAATACTGTTCCAATTTTATTATCAGCTACTCTATCTAATCCAAATTCTTCTATTATGGTTTGGACACGTGCTTTTCTATCTTCATCTGAGAATTCGGCTGGGAAACTTTTTCATTAAAGCATACATTGGGGAGGGAGAAAAAAGGTTTATTTTTAGAAGGGTAAAATTTTAAGGTAATTGCAATGATAGTTAGCTTACCATAAATCAGCAGCGAATTGAATATTCTCCCGCACCGTAAGAACACCTAAGTAATCCGCAGTATATCCGTTAAACACCGCAGTAAACAGCTAACAATGCACATATAAGGTTGAACCTACCCATTAAAGCGTCATCTTGCATTACATAAGTTGATACGTATTTAATTTCACCTGGTTTGCCATTAAGATAAATTTCACCGGTAACGGATTTTGGATCTTTGCGTCCGGCCAATAAGTCCAAGAACGAGGATTTACCAGCTCCAGAAGGTCCCATGATTGCTAAAACTTCACCGGGTTCAACAATGCCACTAACATTTTTTACGATATGTTTTTTTTTTTTGGATTTTGGATCTGTTATTGTATATGATACATCTTTCCAAGATAATGAAATCGAATCCGTTGAAGAAGAAGTGGATTTTTCGTAAGTTTCATTAGCTACTCTTAATGTGAAGTCTTTTAAAGCAGATTCTACTTCTTGTCTTGAAAGAGTACGTCCGGGCTTTTTTGTTATAATTGGTTTTGTCATAGTTGAAATTTCTTGAAAGGAGAAAATTATCAATATATGGTGAAAAAGCAAACCTGAGAATTGGTCAGTGGAAAATTTTATGAACCAACTTCTATTTTTATAACAAATTTTCAATTCATTAATTTATGTTTAAAATAAAACGAAAAAAAGTAATCACATCGAGGCAACACGTGTTAACGTGGATATGTCTTAATAACCGCCCATATATATATTTTGTAGTATTATTAAAGATATCCAAATTTATTTTATTTCGGAGGATCACAATGTAGATTATTAATATTATTAATGAAGATTTATGGATTATTCATATGCTAAAATTGTCATGCGTCTCTTAAGTAGTAAATCTTAGGGGAAAATATTATTAAGCTGGAGATTTTCGACGACTCATAAAATTAGTGACAATGTCGAGAAAAAAAAAAAAAATTTATTTTGTAACTTTTCTTTCAATTATTTGTTCCTTTATTAATATTAAAAAAGAAAAAAAATATTCATAACGTTCACATAGTTAAAGAAAAGATTATAAATGAATAAGAAAAAAATAAAATATAACAATTCATGCAATTACTGTATACAAGTATGAAATGTGAATATGCAGTACATGAGAATGTGGTGTAATGAATCTTGCGTGGTTGAGTTCGTGCTGTAACTTTGTAAATTAAGTATTTTTAGCTCCACGTCCACGTCTACGACGACGCGTATTCGAACTTACCAAATCTAAGGAAAAAAAAAAAAAAATAATAATAATAATACATTAACATTTTGAATTATTATTATTATTTTATTTTATTTTTTTTTTTTTTAAAAAAAAAAAATAAATGAATAAATAAATAAAAATTTTTACCCTTCGGTTTTTCATCATTTTTTTTTCTTAAAGAAAATTTAGCACGTTTAGTATTGCTTGCTTTAATTGAACTTGCATTAGAACTTTCACTAGTGGTCACAACGATCTCTTCTTCACTTTCATTAGTTTCATTAATTTGTCTTTTAACAACTTTTCTCGTCTCAATTTCTTCTTCCTTTTCTTCATTTTTTTCTTCAATGTCCGATAACATTTCATTATAATGTTTAATATAGTAAACCAATTTAGAATTAACATTTCCTCCTACTTCTTCTTTATCAAAAGAACCATTATCTTCTAGTAAGTTTTCGATGCAAGTTTTTAATTCATCACAAACATTCATTACTAAATTAATATTAGATACATCAAAATTTAATATCGGATCATTTTCGTCAATTTCTTTTTGATCTTTTGGCCAATCCTTAAATAATATATCAAGATTTCTTGTTAATTCTATATCTTTTATATTATTTCTTGGTGTATGATGTAATACTTCTATCATGTTTTCTATCAATAATGTAATTGACGCATATCCATTCTCCGTATTATTAAAATGTTGTTTAATTGATGGTAACTCGTTATAATTTTTTAAACGTTGAAAAAATGTTTTAATTTCTTTACAGGGTATTGATTCAATATTATTCTCTCTTTCATATTGAGTCATTATATATTTTAAATAACGAGATTGTTTAAATAAAGTGTATAATGGATTTTTCTGATCCTTTATTTCATATTCTAACCACAACCTTCTATTATAATATTTTTCATAAGGATTGGTTGCTTGTTGTTTCATGAGGATAAAATAAAGGAGAAAAGTTTGTCAAAGTTCGAAAATTTTTTTTTTTTTTAAGAGGTTTATTTTGAGGGGGTAAATTTGACCTTAAATAAATAAAACAAATTTGTTTTATAATGAATTAAAATCATAATAAAAAAAAAAAAAAAAAAAAAAAAAAAAAAAAAAAAAAACCTATTTAATAATTGTATTATATATGATATCAATATGTTTATACAATACAGCTGCTTTTTTTTCTTTTTATTTTTATTTTTATTATTTATTCTTTTTTCTTTTTCTTTTCCTTTTTTTTTTTTTTTTTTTTTTTTTTTTTTTTTTTTTTTGTTTGTAAAATATAAAAAAAAAAAATTATTTTATTTAATTTTTTTTTTTTTCGTTTATTTTTTTTTTTTTTTTGTTTG